TTCTTTGTGCATTGAGTGTGTGACACTTTTTAATAGTTTGTACCTCATGAAGACAGAGTCCATGTTTTTATAACTTACATTGTATCCTCATCAAAGTAAATAGTGCATAACTTTTAGCTTCCTTCTTGTTCAAGCTATTATTAAGAGAAAAACCTAGAGAAGTTTTATTGAATGATAGAGAATTGAATTTGCAATTGTAGTTTTTTGCCAATAATTTAGAGTTTGAAGTATTTCTGTTGTTAGGCTGTCACTATATTGCCTAGGCTGGTTTTGGACCCCAAAGGTGTAAACTCACTCAAGACAGAAAATTGACCACAAGCTGGGCAGTGGTGGCACACGCCTTTAATCCCAGCATTCAGGAGGCAGAGGCTGGTGGATCTCTGTGAGTTCAAGGCCAGCCTGGTCTACAGGAATTCAAGGACAGGCTCCAAAGCTACAGAGAAACCCTGTCTTGAAAAATCAAATCAAATCAAAAAACAAAGCCCCAAAAAGAAAATTGACCACAGACCAAAGTAAGGATACCTCCTTAGTCCAACTTGTTGAGTTAATGATTTATTGGGATTAATCCTCCCTGGAACGTGCATGATGGGTTACTTACAGGACCAGAAATGACAGCCGGACAGCGTATTACCAGAAGCCAGCCCAGCATGGCTGACAGCTCACAAAAGCTAGAACCTGGGGCATCCTGCATACTTGGCAGGCAGCTTGTTTGAGAGTGTCTCTCAGCAGTCCATGCTATGTATGTAAGCTTGGAGAGGGAGGGGGTCTAGTGCCTTTGGTCAGATTCGGGAACTTTTAAAGCTTTTGAGTTGTTTACTTCCTGATTTGAAGAAGCTTCCCTGCAGGGTAGACTACTTCACCTCTTTCCTTTTTCTTAAGAAACTTCCCTCCAAGATGCAGTATTTGGTCTGGGAAGAAATTACTACACAACACCATGTTTGCTTCTGGAATGCTAGGAGTGTTTTGCTTTTTGTTTTTTAACCCAAAACTCAATGGACAGTATCTTCTAACACTGTACGATAATCATCACCTGAAAGTCATCTACAGCATTTTATTCTTTGAATTTGTAAGCCCTCTAGTCCCATGTAAATATTTCTTAAACACTTGAATTCTTTTTATTAGCAGCTTAATTTAATTTTCATCAGTACATGATACAGATGACCAAAGCTGCCTCTTAACAGCCTTTTGTTGTGAGTCCAGATTTGATTAGTTGGATTAGCTTTGATTAGCTCAGTTAATGATAGCAAAGAGTCAGGAACAGCAGCTTACCATGTTTTTATTTCTTTTAAATAAAAAACCTAATCCAAAGCCTGTGGTCTGAGACCTAGGCTGCTTCATAGTTTTCTGATGGGATATCACCCTCATTCTTGTGATCTAAGGTGAAGCTTTCATCACATAAACCTTTTAAGGAACAGAATAGATCAGTTTGCTGGTGCAGAATATGCTTTCCTCCCTGGAAGTTGCAAGGGAGGCTTGAACTATAATCTCTATTACCAATCATCTACCCAGCTAAAGATTTCTAAAGAGGGGACTGGAGAGATGGCTCAGAGGTTAAGAGCATTGCCTGCTCTTCCAAAGGTCCTGAGTTCAATTTCCAGCAACCACATGGTGGCTCACAACCGTCTGTAATGGAGTCTGGTGCCCTCTTCTGGCCTTCGAGTATACACACAGACAGAATATTGTATACATAATAAATAAATATTTTTTTTTTTTAAAGTATTTCTGGGGCTGGAGAGATGGCTCAGGGGTTAAGAGCACTGCCTG